GGGTTTCAGAATGAGCTGAAATGAACATACTCTATTTTTAAAACCAGAAGTGTAACTTCACAGGCTGAGTGTATTGTCATGGCAGAACAGAATTGTTGTATATGTTTACATAATAATTAAGACAGCACCATTTGAATAGTATGTCTTCAATTGCTGTTGCATCTTGGAGCAGAAATGAAGAGTTTTTGGCTTTTTCTCTAATCTGTTGTGAAAGTAAGCAATTTTGGTCATCTCTTGGTGAAGGAACAGAATATATCTTAAAAGGGATTTTTGTTGTATTCAAAGGACAATTCCTACCTAAACATTCTGGAGAGGTCAGTTAATGCCCATGTGCTGCTGACATTGTTTCTCTTCCTCTTCTGATGGTTTTAATTAAAACATATAAAGAGTATGCACTTAAAGTGAGCTACTGGATCCTTTTGAGTTGATGAGAAACCTATAATTGACTTTCGGTAGAGCCTAGTTTTCCTTTCTAATGTGTGTCCTTAATTTATAAGTTTTGGAGATTTGACGATGAGACAACTTTATGATGGCTAAGTGCAATAATATATGCAGACTGAGTGTAGCTGCAGCAATAATACTATGAAAATTTAATGTAACTAATCAACATAAATTTGTTTTTTGAGACAGCAGACTTGTTTTGGCTTCAGCCCAGAAAATCATTAATTTCATGCACACGACTCATCTATTGGCTTAGAGCAACTTCTACACTTAAACACATGATCCACATCCTTAGGGATTTTAACTGTATGAAGATAGTCCGGCTCTTACTGTGGTTCTTCAACCACATGTGAATGATCAGTACCTGATGTTTTTGTGAATACCGCATAGGCAGGCAGCTTTCTCATTCTTTGAAACCTCATGAAAGGTTTGTGTTTACAAAAAACTGTTCTAATAAAAAGCATAATCTTTTCTATGAACTTTTTATGCTTAGATCATCGTAGCTGTAAGTACTCTATTAGAATTTAAACATTAGGTGTTTGAATGATGATAATGCTCCAAAGATAAAAGGGGATAATGTTAAACTTTGAAGTAAATAGCTTGACACCAGAATAACAATGTCTGTGGATGAACTCAGCCAACAATTTAGGATTTTAGCATTGCAAAATCAGAATAATGTCTTCTGGGTGAAGACTTGCTTCCACGTACATTTCTTGGGTTTAGCTTATCATGTTATCATCAAATGAAGTGCTGTTTGAAGTCATGCATTTTTACGCTTCAGAAGGTTTTGTCACAAAATATGTGAACAAGTACCCTCTTACTAAGGGATGGGATTGACTGCTAAATGCCTTTGCCTCCTCAAGTTTAAAAGTCCAGTTTGGAAGTCCAGTGGTGGACTGGGCTATAAATGTACAAGTATATCTTTATGAAAGATATTTTCTGCCTCTAAAGATGCTTGTACCCTGTTTCTTTATTCAGTGCTTTTCTCCAGGAATGTAAATATAGTCATAGAAGAGGTTACACTTATAGCTCTGGGAAAGAAAAGCTTGGGATTTGGTTTGAATGCATGAGATTTAAGTGGGCAACTGTGTGGTTTGCACCTAGGGTACTCCTTTGTCATATATGTCATCCTGCTTTCAGCAGCTAATCAGATGCTGAGTGCCAGTTTATATGTTTTGGGGGACAACATATGTGATAACCTGATTCTACTGATGTGTTACAAATTTTCTTTGAATTTTTTGGGCAAAAGCACATTTGTAATGCATTGATAGACATTTCTGGATTAATTTCTTGTACATCTTGTCATACATTGACTTTGATGGGATGCTGTTTCTGTCACAGAATATTTACATGTAATTGAAAAATACAGTATTTGTGTGGTGAGGCTTGACAGAATTCACACCTTTTCATTTGTTGGTGCTAAGTAGTAGGCAACTCATGTTAAACTTGCATGCAACCTTATCAGTAAATCCCTTCTGTGGCAAAAAGCAGAACAGAAATAAAACTGCACCAATTAATCAAATAACTTGTTTAGCCCAGGATGTGGTGTCCTTTTCTTTCAACTGAAAGTTTAAGTGAAAAAAAAAGAGAACCAGTGAAGCTCTATGATGTTATCTGGATTATTTCTATGAACATAATTATTAAGATAAGCAAAATGGGGCAGTTTGTCAAATAAAAATGACAACAGTGATTAAACAGAAGAACTACAATAAGTGGATCCAGGTAGCTAGACTATCAGATGTAGCTATTTTTAAAAATGGAACTTGCATAAAGCCTGTATATTGATTGATTCAAAGTCACATAATAGAGGAAAATAGTAAAAATCAACATGAAGCAAAAATAAATTATAACATAAAACCGATAAGGGAACCACGCTTGTTTGAAAATCAAGTTTTATAAAAGGTGCAAAAATCCATCAGTCCTTCAAGAAGAAATAAAATACACAGGGTTTTCTTTAGAAAATATAATACATAGCTGCCATAATTCCCAAAGCATCATATATCGTAGGTGTTTGTTGGTAACATATCAGAGATGGATTAAATAAAAACTCCATTAGATTTCAACATACTATAGAAATTGGACAGGTTTTGCTAAATATTACACCAAAAGAACAACTACTGAGGGCTTGCAGCTTACACAATATTATCATGGCTCCATACATTCTGTGGCATGCTGCACCAAATTTTGTATCAAGAGAGTCCATGGCTTTATATTTTGTTGGTACATTTTTATGGGAGTATAAAATCCTGAAAAATGTCGGTTTTCAAGTATTAAACGGATTTGGTTTCAATACTATATGAAAACCAGCAGAAACAGCTCTGTTTATTAAAAAATAATACTGCTATATTAATGTTACTTTCAATATTTAATGCAATAAAATACTTTCAGGAAAACACACAAAACTAGTTACTGCTGTTGAAGAAATATTATTTTACCACACAGTGTTGTTGTTACCAAGTTGTTTCAGCATGACAGGTGACCGCATGTGAAAGCAAACTTGAGTGAACAGTGATGTTAGTTTGTTTTAAAATAGTCAGTTTGATGTTTAGACACTGTGGCTTTTCTTCTTTGGGGATACTTTGAGAACATTTTAGGTGTCATTTAAGCCTGTGGGACTTTGTTTTAATTCTGTGCCTGCTAAATTCCTTTTGGGGAGACTTTACTTAATGAAATGTATCAGCAGTTTTAGCAAATTGTTCTGAGTGCAGAGAAACTTGAAATATTTTTGGGGGATTTGGAATTGTGACAATAATTTGAAACCACAAAATAAATGCAGTGTAAAGATGGTGTCAATTACTTTCTCTGCTCTCTCATTGCTGCGATCTAGAAGACTCAGTCTGTTTTCCTTGTTCTAGAGGAGGGTCTGGTTTGCTGGAAAAAAAAATCAGTATCTGGAAAAATTTACAGTATAGGAATGAGTGTTCATTGCTAGTAGTCACTCCTCAAAATGACAAAATAATTTGGAATTCAGAAGTGTCAGAATAAAATGTGTGCTTACCTGTTCTGAATCAGGAGTGAGACATTTCCATGGTAATGTCTCACCAAAGCTGTTTTAATGTAGTGGTGGGAAGATTTTAAAATTATATCTTTAACTCTGAACCTCTATTATGTTTTTGAAAGGTAAACTTAATTGTGTAGTCATTTGTAATATGATAACTTCAGTAAATCTCCCTGAAAAGATTTCCTGCAACTTTAAGATCTGACAGCAATATGAGGATATATCTAGAAAAAAAACAAACCAAAACAAAAATGAAACAAAAAACCCCCCACCCCACAAACAAGAAAACCATCACCAAAAATCACCAAACCAAACTGACTCTGACAGAACACAAAGCTGTGAATGTGAGCATTTTGAACAGCAAGGGTCAAATTACAATGAAAGTCTGGCAGTATTGCAGTAAGAAGAAGTTTGGGCATAAATTAACAAAGCAGGAATTGATTATTAACAAAGCAGGACTTCATTATTAATGAATAATTATAATAAAAATCCTTCCCAAAGATTCAGAATACATTTTATTACTTTCTATTTCTTTATAAATTATGATGTTGCTTGAATTTTGCTCGATTTGGAAGTGGAAAATATATTTGGTTTGGGGTTCCTAATTATTTTCTACATTCTAAAAAACCTTCAGGCAAAGACCAATGAAAAGTTTTTGCTACTTTCTTTTCTGTATCAGGATCTATAGAGCTAGATTGTGATGGTGACATACGATTAGAAGCTCAGAGACATAAGTTCAATCCTAAAGCACTTTTTTCATTTGCATTTATACTCCTCTGACATTCACTTTAGCTAGCTTCACGGTTTTATGAACACTGGTAGTGTGAATAATTGATTCAGTACACAGACATCTTTATTTAACACACTTATTTCTTTAACAGGTATATTTTACATTTGTAGTTAACCTTCATTGAGCTAAAGGTTTATTACTTAAAAATGTAGTTCCTTTGAAAAGTATTCAAATAAAAAGCTCTAGTACACCTTATTATGTATTTAGTTTGCAGTATGGAAGATGTATTTTCAAAGAACTTTGAAAAATATTGGACCAAATTTTCTGCTGGCTTAAAATGGCAGTTTCATTTTCTAACAGTCTCCTAGCATTACAGTATCAGTGCATAGAGTTATAGCAAAGGAAACATATGTATTTTTTATGGGAGTTATAAAATTTCTGATTTTGAGAATGGTAACCTGGTACCTATTAATTATCAAAACTGTGTTTTGTCACTTCAGAGCTTAGTTCGTATGTAACCTAGGAAGGAATAAAGTCATTGTTCGGTTTCAGCCTTGGGGTCATCTGAAACAATATTTTTTTTGGGGATGAAAATTCCATTCAATACCATGAGAGTGTTAGAACTGTGATGAGCACTTTGGAAGGTAGTTGCTTCTGAAATCGTTTTTCCTATAAAATGATAACTAAATGACAAGGCTGGCAAAATGTTGAGTAAATATATCATGCAATTCTTATTTTTCTAAGTGCTTTGAGAGGAATAAGTATGCTCGATGAATGATGTCTTCCTGTATCCGCAAAATGTAACTAAAATAAAGTACCTCTTCTTTCTAGCTAAGTAACCTGAAACAAGTCACAGTTGTGGATGTGTCAGCAAACAAGTTCCATTCTATTCCAATTTGTGTACTCCGGATGTCTAATTTGCAGTGGTTGGATATTAGCAGCAACAACCTAACAGATCTCCCGGAAGACATAGACAGGTAGTTTTTGTTTTAATCCATTGACAGTCTTGTGAACTATAAAGCAAATCTAGAAAGTAACAAGCTTCCAAGGGCACCATGAAAAATCACGTGAAAAAAATCACATTTGGAAATGCATCACATAGTTTTGCATGTAAGCTTTGCCATTATTATTCATGGACTAGCTCAGAGAACAGAAACTGCAATTTCTAGCTCTTTGATGACAAGTTGTACAGTCAGTGCCTCTACTGTTCAGGTAACTGATTGCATTTTCTGCTGCATTCATGACAATTTGTCATTCTATCCAGACACTGGTTTTTGAGAAGTTCATGGGGCATACTCTGCCCCAGTTCCAGCAAAGGGGACTCACCATATGAAGTTGGCAGCAGTATCTCTCTGAAACGCAGATGGGGTGGAGGGAAAGACAAATTAAAACATATTTCAGCTACTGAAAGAACCTGATAAACTTTGGCAGTAAAGCAGAATGACACTGGTAAGACTAAAAAAACCTGCTGACAATCCTCCCCTCCTACTCTGAAGTATATATACACGTGCACAGATATACCCACTCTCTCAATTTAGAGATGCACTAGGACTAGTTTTAAAAAAATTATGCTGATCCCTCTAACGGGACTTATTAGCCTGAGAAAGCCATTTTCTTATCCCTGGGCCTATTTATTCACTCTTGAGTCCTGTTGTAACTTGGTTTACAACACTTTACATAGCCATAAGAAAAACAAAACACATACTAACCAAAGTTTATTAAAAAAATGATGGATAATATATTGATCTGGGAATAGAGATCCCTAAAGCAGAAGAAACTTCAAGAAAACTCATTCAACCTTAACTTTTGCAAGACTTTGAGGCTGGGCAAAAACACTTTTTTGGAACATTGCGTAATCACAGATTTCTCTGACAGTAGGGCCGAAGTCTTCATTTGTATTAGTAATTCAGATGCTCTAGCCAAAACAGCACAAACCTGCCTTTTTTTTTCCCAGGGGATGTGAGCTGTGGTTTGATTAACTTCAAAGAACTTCTCAGAGGATATTTTTATTTTATGGAAGGATACTCACTCAACTTGAGGGTCACTTTTCCCCTGTAACCTATATATATTTCCCTATCTCCAAAATATTCCTTTTCTTCATTTCATCTTCTCCATTTCATACTGAGTTGCAGCCTCGATACTAAAGCATCATAACCACACACGATAAAATAAGATTTTTTTTTTTGTTTGACATTGGGTTTTGAATTTTGAGACCTCTTGGGCTCATGCGTGTTCTGAAGACTAGAAAATGTCAGGATATCACACACACCACACTCCGCTCCCCCCCCAGCAAACTGATACTCTTATTCAGACTCATGATTTCAATGCCTGCAGTGTCAAAGAACCTCAGCAAACTACCATGAAATCTGTGATTAAAAAAGATGAGTAGGCAGTGAAGCCTTGCTTAATATTTTCCCTGAATTCAAACAAACCATGTGGGCCTGACAAGCAATAGTCTGCAATAGTGTTTTAGGAATGGACCCTTCTGGTCAACCAAAACAACCTTGCTTCATCAGTTTGCTATGCTTTTCATCTTCTATCTACTCCAAGGAGTAAATGCCCAGCCACAAACTATTGCATCAGGAAAAGCCAGGAGAAATAAAGCAAAAGAAGACTAACGTCTTCACCCACAAAATACTGTCATTAAATTGATTTCAGTGGGATAACTTGCAAGAGCCATATGGCCAGGAGCTGGTCTTTCTCTTGCTCCCCACCATACTAATTACTAGAGAAAAACAATAAATGAGAATATACTGCCTAGCACGGATGTATCTAGTTCACAGAAACTAGCATATGGACAAAGGTGTGAGCTGGTGACCCATATTTTTCATTAGTTCTTGGATATATGTGATGAGATTTTATATCATATTCTGTCAACATTTTCTGTATGAAAGCATAGTAATTTTTGTAACCTTTTATCTTGGGCATGCTTCTGAGTACTTGTCAGGGGCAAGGTACTCTTACCTATAATGTTGAACCATGACTGGATATTTCCATTAAAGTCGATGACAATTTGTGAAAGTGTGGTACAAGATTAAATCTGTGTTGCTATTTTGCATAGAGGTTCCTGTCAAAAATAAATATTTTAAGCTATCTTTATGTTTTACACTTTTACAGGTTAGATCAATTGCAGACGCTTCTCCTACAGAAAAACAAGTTGACTTATCTTCCACGAGCTCTGGTCAATATGCCAAAGCTCAGTTTGCTAGTTGTCAGTGGTGATGACCTGGTTGAGATACCCACAGCTGTCTGTGAGTCAACCACAGGCTTAAAGTAAGTAAAAGTGAGAGAGAAAGGAGTATGTCCTTAAGAAGATAGGGTAGGTGCACCCAGGAGAAATAATTTCAGAAGCATCAGTTGGTGGTCAAATTCTGATCCAATTTATATCAGAGCCCTTAAGGAGGCACCAGAGAGAATGGAAACTGCAGAGAAGCCACAGCTTGCTGATGTTCATCTGCAAGTTCCCCACATTGTGCATCTGTATGCCTAAAAAGGCTATTCCTGTGGAGACTTGATCATAGTAGCTCTAACTCTGGAGTCTCAAAGCCATACCCCAGAGCGGGACCTGTAGTCTGGCAGCAAGCTGTTGATAACATTAGTGCTGTCAGAAGTATGTTGCTGGGAGCGGGAGACACGGCTCGTTAAAATGCTAATTAGTGTCACATGGGTTTAGTAGTTCATATTTTCTTTGTTGTGAAATAGCACCTTGTTGCTGCATGCAGGAGAAGACTTTACTCTTCTAGGCCTTTAAAGGCTTCTTTAAAGGCCTTTCAGTTTGCAATTATAATGATCTTGCATTTCTGTAAGTGGTGTTCAGGTCTTCAATTATGAAACCATTTGAGACTCTACACTGGATCTGGTTGGGATGGAGTTAGCTTTCCCTATAGCAGCCCTCATAGTGCTGGGCTTTGTATTTGTAGCTAGAATGGTATTGATAACACACCAAGGTTTTTGACTGTTTTGACTGTTGAGCAGTGCTCCCACAGCATCAAGGCTGTCTCTCCAATGCTCTCCCAAAAAAGCCAGCAGGCTGAGTATGAGCAAGAGGCTGGGAGGGGACCTAGCTGGGACAGATGGCTCAAACTGACTGAAAGGATATTCAGTACCCTGTGATGTCATGCTCAGAAATTAAAAGTTAAGAGAAAGGAGAAGGGAGGTGGGTCATTCATTATTAAGGTGTTTGTCTTCCAAAGCAATCACTACACATACTGAGCTCCTTCTTCCAAGGAAGTGGCTCGACTTTGCCTGTTGATGTGAAGTAAAGAATAATTTTTTTTTGCTTTGCTTTGCTTTTGCGCACGGCTTTTGCTTTTCTTCATTAAGCTGTCTTTATTTCAACCTATGAGTTTTTCATCTTATATTCTCCCCTTGTCCCGCTGAGGAAGGACAAGGAGAAAGATGCTTAGTTGGCACCTGGCCAGCCAAGGTCAAGCAACCACAAACTTACAGCAATTCATGAGATTTTAAAAAAACATTTGATTTGCTAGAACATTTGTTTTTTTGAAAGTAATAATTTTATTGGTTTTTTTTTTTTTCTTCTTCTTGGAGTGGTAATACCATCAGAGATTTTCAGAATGCTGTGCACTTAATTTGCATCTTATGTAAGTTGTTTATGTAACCATCTAGTTTTTCACCTCTAACGTGTAGCTTTAGGAAATTTGCAAATATGACATAACGCACGTCCTGTCATGCACTGTAAAAAAGAAGTAAGATAGCAACAACAAAAAAATGGAAACACGTACTGTCAGCTAGTGATGCTGGCAAAATTCCAGACTGCTAGACAGTGTTGTTAGGATGGAATTGTTAGTAGCGTGACTGCTGTTAGCAGTGTTACTGCTCATTAACAAATGTGAAATTACAGTGTACTCTGTCAGAAGTTACATAGTAAATAGCTGTTATTGCAAAGAATGATTTATGAAGATGGGCAAAAATAAAGAGATAGATCTGATCATTTTTATATGGAAAATAGAGTACAAAGAACGTGCTGTTTGAAATCTTTATTTCTAATAATAGATGGAGTCTAACAAAGCCATAATGCAACAATTGAGCAAATGTTCTTTATGTTTCCCCTTCAGCAGCAACTTCTAAAATGTCATTCATGTTGGCTGGTGACATTCAGAAGCCTGTTGCATACATTCTTGTGTTAATCTTTCTCTCTAGGTTCGTAAGTCTCAAGGACAGCCCAGTTGAAACTATTGTATGTGAAGACACGGAAGAAATTATAGAAAGTGGACGTGAACGGGAGCAATTTGAGAAAGAGTTTATGAAAGCATACATTGAAGACCTAAAGGAAAGGGGTATGGGTGTTAACTTGCAGTAAACTTCCTACTATCTTGGATATAAATGCAGACTTATATTGGGAACATTAATGTTTAGAAGTACAAGCAATATACCCTTAACCTGTAATTGTCTGTTATTTTAGTCTTATAAATAAACTAAAAGTGAAAATGCTGAATGTGTTTTGTTAAAAGTTTGGACCCTAACTAAAATACTTGATATTGAACAACTGTATACAAAATTAATGGTGTGTTTGTACATGTATTAACCATAATTCAATGATAATGTAAACAATTATTATCCTCATTCTCCAGATATACTTACCTCTCTTGGGACTAACATTAGTGATTCTGAATTCCTGCAGAAGTGCTTCTTCCCTAAAAAAACACAGTGTGTATATGAAATACTCTCTGCATTGACAGAACATTCTTTAATGGCGTATAATATGTGTTTGGTTTTATATATATATATATAACCATATATCTATATATACACATAAAACATATATATGGTTAAACAGGGAACTGATGGGCAAACTCAAGTGGAAGAAGAGAGTCTATAGATCTTGGAAGGAGAGGATGGTCACTTGGGAGGACTATAAGACTCTTGTCACAGTTTGTAGAGAGGCAACTAGGAAAGTTAAGGCCTCCTTGGAGTTAAGCCTTGCAAGGGAGGTCAAGGACAACAGAAAGGGCTTCTTCAAGTACATTGCAGACAAAACTAACACTAGAGGCAATGTAGGCCCACTGTTGAATGAGGCGGGTGCCCTGGTGACAGAGGACACAAAGAAGGCGGAGTTACTGAATGCCTTCTTTGCCTCTGTCTGTACTGCTGGAGACTGTCCTCAGGAGTCCCAGACCCCTGAGGCCCCAGAGGAAGTCAGGATAAAGGAAGAGTTTGCCTTGGTTGATGAGGACTGGGTTAGGGATCAGTTAAGCAACCTGGACATACATAAATCCATGGGCCCTGATGGGATGCACACATGGGTGCTGAGGGAGCTGGTGGAAGTTATTGGTAGGCCACTCTCCATCATCTTTGCTAAGTCGTGGGGAACAGGTGAGGTGCCTGAGGACTGGAGGAAAGCAAACGTCACTTCAGTCTTCAAAAAGGGCAAGAAGGAGGACCCGAGCAACTACAGACCGGTCAGCCTCACCTCCACCCCTGGAAAAGTGGTGGAGTAACTTATCCTCAGTGCTGTCTCTAGGCACATGAAAGATAAGAGGGTCATTAGGAGCAGTCAACATGGCTTTGCCAAGGGGAAGTCATGTTTGACCAGCCTGATAGCCTTTTAAGAAGACAGAAGCAGGTGGATAGATGATGGGAGTGCAGTGGAT